CACACACACACACACACAATATCCCAATTCGTGGGCCGTGTAGACTGCGAAGGATTTCCATGGTTGGCGTCACCAGCCCATACTGCTGTCGCTATAGCAACAGAGCAGTTGGACACGACGAGAACGTTTTTTTAACCATGAGCTGTTCGGTCGAGTTGAAGCCAGCCACTCAAGCATTGGGCCTCTCGCTGCTCGCTGGCGCCATCACCTCTTTGAAAAACTGTTAATCTCCAATGTGCAATGCATCCTGGGATAGGTTGGACCGAGGAAGGACGCACCTGCTGAAGCCGTCGTGTTTCTCTGGGATGGAAGGACACGTTTGGAGGAGCCTTTAAAATGGGACAGTCTCCGAGAAACTTAAACCTGAACCTAATCTGACTCTAACACACACACACACACACACACACACACACACACACACACACACACACAGAGGGCGTATGTTTTTTTATAACAGCACAGTCCAGCTCCTCGTTCAGTCAGCCTGACATGTTCTCTGCGCCTCCATCCATCAACTTCAAACTGGGACATGTTCACAAAACGCAGACGTGTGGCCTACATGCGTGTCCCTGCAGATGTGCACGTGTGTGTTGAAGGATGAGGCTGACATCACAGCTGATCCAGAGAAAGTTGCTTAAGAAAACATTGGAGGAGGATATTTTTATTTATGGCAGCAGACGATGTTTGTGGGATTCATTCTAAATAAACCACAGAGCTCAATGTTCATCATAATAAAGAAACGTGTCACGTTGACGAGATGTGAGATGATTAATAGTTTCAGTTCTTCTGGCGGCTCTGAGACTGAATCTTTGTGGGACTCGTCCTTGGAAAGTTGTGGCCGTCTGGGAAACGGCTACTGAGTTTGATGAACATGAAAAATATGAAAATCGTTCCTGCTGCTCTTATTGATATCTTTCACCACAGAGTGGAACAAAAGAGTTTCTCTGCTGCTGCGCTCCCCTCGTTTCCTTGGGAACGTTAATACCATTAGACTTTTACACAACACAGATGTTTTTAAATGAAACAGACGTTTTTAGATACAACAGAACAGTGCGTGTGCGTGCGTGTGTGCATGTGTGTGTGTACCAGGCTGTTTTAAGACAAATCAGAGACATTAGCTGATAATGTTTCATTTTTAAATTTGTTAGTCTGCACAGAATGAAATGCAGAGACACTTACTCTGCAACGTGTGTGTGTGTGTGTGTGTCTTTGTGTGTGTGTGTGTGTGTGTGTGTGTGTGTGTGTGTGTGCTTCCATGCTCAAGTGTTTATCGTCTCATTAGCCGAGGGGGAAGGTAAAGTGCTCTGAAGGTGTGATCTGAAATGTAATGTCGCCTTTTGCGTCGTGTGATTTACATCAGTGCTGCATGAGTGAGACTTTTGTAACAGGAAGTGATGTTTGAACGTCTCGGGTGAATATTGTGAGTAATTGATCATCTTTTTAATGAAGTGCGTCTTTTCCTCCTAATTGGAGTCGACTCAATGAATCACGAGCAGATGAATATGAAACAGAGCGACAGTTCAGGTGACGAAACCTCAAACCTTTAAAAGCTCGGATCATCAAATAGAGAGTTTGTTCTTCTAGAGAATTCACTTCATGAGAGATAATGAATGAAGACAAGAGGCTTTACGTTTTCAGGTTGTCCGTCCTTCCATCGTCCCACTCTCTTTGTCCGTGGTTTTATTTTGTCCTGGTTCACCGCAGAGCTTTTCAACTCCACTTGTCTTTTCCAGGTAAACATGCCGGAGCTGGCCTTGCTGCGCTTTGTGGTTTTAGACGACGACTACATCGGAGACGATTTCATCGGCCAGTACAGCGTAGCCTTCGAGTGCCTTCAGCCCGGCTACCGCAACGTGCCCCTGCTGGGACTGGTGGGCGACCCCTTACCCCACACCAGCCTGTTTGTCCACGTGGCGATCACCAACCGGCGAGGAGGCGGGAAGGCCCAGAGACGGGGTCTGTCGGTGAGGAGGGTGGGCCGACGGGGGAGGGAGTACGTCACGCTGAGGCACACGGGCATCAAGGTGGTGGACGAGACTTTCAAAACGGCCGGCCCCACCCTCAGGGAGGCGGCGGTCCTGCGGGAGGATGCTCAGGTGAGGCGGGAAAATATCGTCCATCGCCCCTAGAGACGAATTCAGTCAGTCAGACGAGAGCAGTTGGGCTCCGAGTCTCGTCCAGTCATGAAATACATGTTGGACTTTTATCCAAACTGCAAGAATTTTCCTTTTTTAACCACAACTTCTTCTTTTTCTTGTAAATTCCAAGGATAGTATTGTATTAACCCCCCCCCCACACACACACACACACACACATCTCATTTAACCAGCAGCTTTAGTTAATATATTATTATATTATGTCTATGAGTATTAATTCCATCATATTGTCTGTAAATCTACACAAACAGTCAAATCCACACAAATGAATCCCTGTTCTCCTCACGCAGCCTCCCACTGTGTCGGCTGCACTGGATAATCCACAGACCTCCTTCTTAACACTTCTCATTTGGGAAATATAAATATTTATAGATTTGATTTGAAAGAATTGAAAAGTGTTTACTGTGAGGATTTTGGATTATCCAAAGTAACCAGGACATCGTTCCTGGAAAGAGATGATCAAGAGGGTTTATTTATTTTCCACAGAAATCTCAAAACCAGCTAAAATTCCCCCTGAGACGAGTGAGACCGTGTTATTTTTTGATGAACTGACCCTTTAAGATTTTGCAAAAAAACCAATAACACTTTCAGGATCAGGTGTTTTCTAAGATGCTGTATTTTTAGGCTGCGCTGGTACGATGTCCAGTTTTGACTCGGGTGAATCGGAGCCGCTTTCATGACGGCGCTGAAATCAGACTCTGCTTGAGTCTTCTGTGGAGGATGAGGAACATGGAGGGAGGAGGAGGAGGAGGAGGAGCAGTGACAAAAGAGGAGTCAGTATAAAGAGTGGAGGAGGATTATAAAGCATCTATAAATACCAGCAGAAAATAGACCCCGGTCACACAGCACCCACCAGCCTAATGATACAAACATGTATGAGCAGGTGATTAGAAGAGAGTCGTCTTCTGTGGTTCGTTTACAGAGAAACTGTTGAAGCCGCAGGTTAAAATTAACCGTTTAGAAATAGATAAATTCACGTTCTGGACGAGCAAGATGGTAGAGAGATTAGCTTAGCTTAGCATAAAGACTGGAAGCAGGGGGAAACAGCTAGCATGACTCTCTCTGAAGTTTGATCAGACCATCCTTTAATCCCCATAGTTTCATCATCACATGTTCCTCAAACCACGAGTGTCCATAGTGCAGATCTATAGATCCAATCTGAGGATCCCAATATAGAGCAGGTCAGGCCTGCCGAGCCCGACCCGACCAGAGCCTGATGACTCCAGAACCAAAAAAACCTAAATATTCCTTTACTCTGATGCAAAAGTCGTGTGGTTCCTCTAGTTTCCTCAGATTCTGCTGCTCGTCCATCTGTCATTCACAAACTGATCCGCCTGCTTCGATCTCATTGTCCTTCCCCTCTGACGTGAACTCCCTCCTTCTCTCTCTCTCTGAGCCCAGCTGTAAGCTCATCTGCCAAAGTCAGTTAATATTCATCATGCCTCCTATTATACACACACACACACACACGCTTACACACAGGTGGGCTAACGGTTCGTCCAGTTGGGCGTCTGCCATGTGGCAAATAGCATCCAGTTAGTCTGCAGTGGTTTTCTATTCTCGTGCTTTACCTTCTTTATGAAATCACCCAGTGTTTTGCATTTCAGCAGCGTAATAACACACAACTCTTGTTATTCAGACGTGTTTTAACCGACCCAGTTTCGGTGTGCACACACCTGCTGCAGCTGAAAAACACTCCGAACGCCACAGCGTTCCAGATTTATGCCATATTGTCTTCTCCTTTGCCAAATGCGCTTAAGCTCCGGCTGATTTCACTGGATTAAAATGACGGCCATATTGATTTAATTCACAAGAGGAGCAGCAGATGACAGGGGAAAGAGGGTGTGTGTGTGTGTGTGTGTGTGTGTGAGACCCTCTCTGACCTTTCGCAGCTTAGTTCTACAGCTGTAACCTTACATCTGATCTAACTCAGCTTCCACTCGTCTTTCTCTCTCTCTGTTTTTTGCTTTCACATGTTTCCAGAGCACGACGGCGAGTTTCAAAGAGCAGTGTGGGCTCCCCACGGTGGCCAAGCTCAAGCAGTGCATCCAGAGCTTGGCCCCCAGGCTGCAGAGCCCCGAGGGCGTCATGGGGGCCACCATGGTGCTGAGGGAGGGCTACCCCTGTCTGGAGCCACTGGCCAACCTGTCGGAGGCGACACGCAAACTGCTCGCCGCCTACGACACGGTCAGTCTGAGGAACGGGTTTTGTTTCCAGGACTATTGAGGCGTCGTGGTGTTTTTTCTCTTCGTTCTCACATGAAAGATTTCACTTCCTGCTCTTCTGCTCGTTTGTTCAGTTTCTTCACGAACTGGATGTTTGAGTCTCGGCTCGGTCACGAGCTCTCTGCATCATTAAGCCTCTCAAAGTTTAGGATTTTGTTTTCTGATACCGAGCACTGCGTCACTGAGTGTGCACACGCGCCCACGTGAAATTACAGTGAACATCAAATATGCAGAAAGACACTCTGAGGTGACGTGCATGAAACAGTCACCCACACTCCTCCTCAAGCACAAACAAACACACACACACACACACACACACCCTGACTGCCAGCTGCGTCTCCTCCTACTCCATCTCCTCTTGCATCAGACCAGGCTGAATCTCTCCCACCTGTTTCAGCGTTCAGCGACGACACCTACACACACGCACGCACACGCCTCGTTACAGAGTGTGCGTGTGTCGTCGTCCCCCCCCCCCCCCCCCAGCCATCACTTTGAGTTTATGCATGTCAGCGGAGTCGATGATGTTCGAGTGTGAATCCGGCAAATGTGAGCCCAGCAGGTCAGCGTCATGATGCCACAGTTGGTGTAGTCTCCAGTCGTACATCGCAGCTCTTCAGGCTTTCTGGGCACGCACGCACGCACGCACACACACACACACACACACACAGCTTAGTCACCACACGCTCGTCATCATCCTCCCTCTGCTGCCCTGTAGCCAGAGTTCTGCCCTCTTCCCAAACAAACTTCTCTGTGCCTCTGTGTCATTTTTCCGTGACTGTCTCCAGCAGGAATGAACCAGACCAAACAGAGATTGTTTGAAGCATCTGATTCATTCTTCAGCCACACACACATCATCCCTGAATCCCCCAAAAAATCCACTTTTGATACCACGACTGTGGTCATCTTGTTGTGTCCTACAAACTCCGGTACATGGTTTTTTTAACTCTGAGTATTTGTTACCCTGAGACTCTGAGTCGTGTCTCGTGTTCGGGCGGCCGGAACACAGCACGAGCTCCACATCTTCCCCAAGAAAACAAGTTACAAGGTGAAAGTATTTATTTACAAAGTTCCTTCTTATGACTGTGAGCAATATTTCAGCTTCAGGACAAAACAACAAACAGACTAGAAACTCACTCATAGTTCAAATAACAACAGTCCCATTATGAAACCACATTTAAATTCACTTTTCTCCTGATTTTTATTTTGGATCTTCACCAAATTTCTCTCACTCAGAGTAAATATCAGTTTTCTTGATATGCCAGATGTTTTCGATGAATTATTCTCAGAGAAATCAACGAAAATGGTGAAAAACACTTTATGACACAAAAAAGTGAAGAAACTAAATCCTCAGCTTCTCTCATGTGAAACGTACAACATGGCTTCAGTCACTGTTAGTTTGTTATCTTGAGACTCAACAAGTCAAGAGCGATGTACAGTAGAAACTCACACCGCAGCTTCTCTGTGTGGAGCCGAGGATCTGACCTGGTGAATTATTCACAACTTTTTGGTTTCACCCTCAAGTTAAGTGGTTTCTGAAAAATCTGTTTCTGAACGACTGTGTGTCCTGATCCATGTCACGCACGTCAAGTTGGTCCATAGAAGTGAATGATAGTGTGTGTGTGTGTGTGTGTATGTCTAGATGCATGCTGGGAAATCCTCCCGCCACTTTGAGCCTGCAGGATAAGCAGGAATAGATCAAGTTTGATCGGTGCTCGTCTTCACTGAAACTCTCTCTGTGTCTGCAGATGATCGCCGCTCAGAAGCAGCTGATCGAGAACGCAGACGCCGTCCAGGAGAGGATCGACCAGGTGCAGAGAGAAGGTACGCTGCCCCGCCCACAGAGAGAGAGAGAGAGAGAGAGAGAGGGAGGGATGAACGTCCGGTCGGTCGCTGACATTTACTGAGTGAAATCACTTTTGATGAACGCTCATGAATTAAACAACCTCAGTGAAAGATCTGCATGAAACCTAAAAAATCTCCAAAGAAGCGAGTCTGACATCAAACAGCTGCACTTAATGAGGGCGACTCCTCGGAGAATGAGTCCGTCAGTAAACAACGTTACAAGTGGAGATTCCTGATGTTCTCGTGTGTCTGTTCCTAAGGATTTCTGATTTCTTAAAAAAAAATAAACACAAAATTTCGTCACTCACTCATTTTTCTACTTTTTCGAAATTAGGATCTTTGGAGACACATGAAATGTTTTTAACCCGTAACATGCTGCACTTCTGTGTCACGCTAATAATTTGCATTTTCCAAACGGTGTCAGGTGTAATGCAGCAGCGTCTCCCTGCAGTAAAACCAGTGTATTTTCTCCTCCTGACCTTTAACTCACAATGCAAATGTCAGGAGAAATGGAACTTTTACTTTTTTGTAGATATGCAAATCCGGTATCTGACAACGCTGCCCCTGCCCACACACTTTTTGTGTTAGTCACAAATATAATTCACAGGAATCACAGAATCAGTTTGACAGGTTGCATTGTATTTCGCATACATTTGCATTATTGGCGCCTCCTGGTTGTGTCTCGCAGGCATGGACTTCCACGAGGATCTGTCTCGGCTCGCGGAGAAGGAAGGACTGAAGGGAAGGAAGCTGAGTAAAGCTGTGGAGAGTTTCACCTGGAACATCACTGTCCTCAAGGTAGTGAGACGCAAAAACAGAATTATGGTAATGTTGTTGTATATTCACGTGGGACCATTAAGTCTGTCCTGTTAATATTGTTCATGTAGTGGACACACAACTGCAGCTTTCATTACAAATACAATAAAGACGACACAAACCCATTTTGTGGTTCAGATAAAATCAAACCTGTAAATTAAAAATGTTTAAAACAACCCACGTTTTTTTAACTGACCAACAGTGATTCAAAACTCTGATCATAATAATAATAATAATTGTATTCGTATAGAACTTTATACTTTAATGCTTTACAAAAAAACATATACAACTCGTAAACAATCATAATAATAATTCTATTAATACAAATACAAGTAATAGACATCACATGATTTTTTTAGAGATGTGTAAAATTGTCTCCTATTAACTCATTAATCTGAAAATGGAGCTTTGCCTCTGATATAAAGAAAAAGATTGAAGCTGTTAATGACTTATGAAGATAAGATAGAAATTCACTCGTTACAGCAGCAGATAGTCAGAGATGAGGCGGACTGGAGAACATGTGGAACAGATGAACGAAATAAAACAGGCAGTCAAATAGAAATAAAAGACTTAATTGAATAAAGATAAACGAGGACGAATATTGGACAATATTGAAGTTTTTTGCAGTAGTTCAGGACCTCGCCCACATTCCAGGAGTATTAATAATAACTGTGCTGAATATCCTGTTAGATCCTGCTGAATATAACATGTCTTCCTGTGTGCCGCAGGGTCAGAGCGATCTGTTACGGGGAGCGAAGGTCGATTCCCTGGATGCTCTGAGGCAGTTGGCTCTGGCCTGTGAAGCCTGCGGACTCACCTCCCCCTCCACCAACTCCTCATCCTCCACCTTCTCCGCACCCGAGTTACACTACTCCTCCCACTCGCTGTCGGGCCGCCGCGGCAGCACGCATGGCAACGGACGCATTTGACGCACCTCCCTGCCCCCCGGGTCCAGCACGCTGCCAAAGACGGAAAGGGAGTGAATAGAGTAAATAGAGAGGATGTGAGAAAGACGGAAAAATAGAAAAGCAGAGGAGGAACCTCTTCACCCAGTGTGTAGACTTGCCTAGAACAGTATATCTGTTAAAGCCTTACGGTGAGTCCATCCATTTATCACTGACGGTCCGGCCTGAGCAGAAGCTTCTCATGAATGTCCCAACTCAGAGGTGGAGAAGCAGACGTGGCTCCTCGAACCCTGGACGGCTCCTGCTCGACTTTCTAAAAGACCCATAGACAGCTGCGTAATTAGTGACAATGGCGCTGTGGTAGAGCGGATGTTTACAGTCCTGTTGGTGTTTTAGACGTGGAGATGTAGAGCTGACGGAACAGTTATGATCCAGCCTCAGCAGAGCAGCTTGTCCTTTGGGAAGATATCGGGACCTCTGTGTGTGTGTGTGTGTGTGTGTGCAATTTCACAAATGTTTGAATTGACAGAAGTAAAGATGAGGATATAATACTCGGATTTTAATATTTGTGTTTTTTAGATTTAACTGCAGTCAATGCAACTAACCTTTATCCGTGGACTTCGTGTGAAAAGCACATTCCTCCTGCATCTTAAGGAGAAAAGTAGAAGCTTTAAATGAACGTGACATGAATGACTCTGCTGAAGATGGGCGTCACCTTAAGTAGAACAGTACGTGATTGACAGTTATTGACTGTTTTTAAGTCTCCAAACACGGTGGCCGTTACCGAGATGCCACATTAAACTAATTTCTGAATGAATCTGAAGAAAAAAAATAGACGACATCATAAATATCTACAGCTGTTGATAAGATTTGAGAGTTTGGAGACAGAAAGTCAAACGAATCTAATAATTTGTCTTTGCATCTCTTCTCTTTGTCCAGTTGCTCCGATAGAGATGAATTGTGTTGTGTGTTGAATAGTGTCGATGCACACAGACACACACACACACAGGTCACCGTTATCTCCCCTCTGGACGCCTCTTTCACGCTCACTCGGCGAGGGCACGGCTGTAACGTGAGCAATGAGGTGTAGCGGATACGACGGTAACCGGAGAAGTAAGTGTGTTGATACTGTAGTACTACATGTGTGTGGATAGTAGTACACGTGCGGATCACATTACCTCCTTCGCCGACGTGTGTGTCGGTGTGTGTTTGTGTGTAGAAGCAACAGATTCCTGCAGCGTTGATGACGTTTACCATGTAGCAATAATAATAGTTGTTGGTTATGAGAAAGTGTATGAGGCTGTTTAACTCACTGAATGATTGAAAACAACATAACTAACTGGTGTCCCGCAGGTGCTACTGATCACGGCTCGTCGTTGTGCGTACCTGTCAGTGACGTTGGCGTTCCTCGAAGCCTTTTGAGTGTAACTGTGTGTTTCTTCTTAGAAAAAACACCTGATTCTCGTTCTTTTAACTGAGCTTTTGTACTCGTGTTCTTGTATCTTGTGATGCTGCGTTTGAACCAAACTTGACTCAATTAATGCTAACACACAGGACTAAGCTAACAGGATTAGAAATACCTCCTTCAATACCGTCACACGTCACAGTTGTCAGATCTCCAGTGATTTTCACGCCTCAGTCGATTAGATTAAATGTCTCGGAAATGCCAAATTATCTTTAGAAATAAGAAAATCAGAAAGAAAGCATAGAGTATCTTTGAAACAACTTATTTGGTCAAATTCATTTTCTCTGTTTATGTCTGAAAACAGCTTAGAGCATTTGAACGAGACAGAGTGCAGCAGCTGGAGGGAGCAGACTGAGAAGAAGAAGACATGTTGAATGTTTACTCCGGCCGATCGGAGACGTGGCCGAGCTAAACGTTGTCACAGCTCAGAAACACTGAGACACGGGGCCGTCACTGAGGTTTAACTGAAGTGCTCATTCAGAACTATGAGCGACAAACTCATATTTCCATACAGTGTTTTGTTGCCTTTCATTCATCCGTGTGCTCCTCTCTTTTTGTAAAACCAGTTTCCTCCTTCATCCTCTTGTTCCCGCTGCTCCTCCGGAGGCTCCAGGTGGGGAGTGACTGAGCCGATGCACTGAGTCACTCAGCCAGAGGAGGAGGTTGACCTAATAACATTTCCATGCCTGCAATTTCGTGTGTGTGAGAGAGAGAGGGAGAGAGACTGAGACACTTCTAAAAGTAGAAGATATATTGTGGAGAGAGCAAAGGCTGAAGGATAGAGGAGGAGGAGGAGGAGGAGGAGGAAGGGGCTGATGTTGGATTAACTTTTGGTTGCATGGTTGCACACCTGCAGAGCCTCATAATTGGCTGTGAGCAACAGACAGAGCGACAGCACCTGCTGTTTTGCTCTATTAATATCACTCTGACTCACTGGAGGCTTCAGGATGTGTGTATGTGCTGGTGCGCTCATGTCTGCCATGATACCTCTGTGCCCTAATTCCTGGCCCGGTGATGCAAACTGGTTCTGCTGCTTCCACAGTCACTGCCAAACTATCACGACGCGTTTCCTCCCGAACGCACAGTCGAAGAGCTCCGCTGCCTCCGACAGGCTCGCTGGAGGAGCTGAAAGTGACAGATTTGTCTGGATCATAGGAAGCCTCCTCTGGCAGAGATCTGTTTACCTGCAGGTCGCTGATCTCTGTGCATTAATGATGCAGCAGCTCCAGTAAAACAAACCATGGTATTATCTTTCTGTGTTCCGGTTTACATGCCTCCTGACATGAGTCGAAGAGGGGGATTTACTTTACCTGAGGAGATGTAGGTCGCAGGGTTTTACCTTTGTAGGTGATCATGGACAGGAGAGGGCTCAGGTTTCGGTAATTAGCTCTTTTTCTAGTTAAGTTAAACCTCATTCTCAGAGATACAATGGCACTTAGCCCAGCTCTCTGCGAGATAAGTATTTTTGAGGGCATCAGCACTTATAGATATCAGTCTCCTGGTTTTTTTTTCCATCAAGATCCCTGAGATATTGGTGAAAATGTCATAAATTGCCTCATGATATTAAAGAAAGAGAAGGAAGAGGATGTCAGATGTTACAAGTTGAGTTAAAACTTCATCATCATGATGTTCACAGTGATGGATCACGTATCTCAAGCAGATTCCGGCTCCCGAAATGTGTTCAAAGATAAGCAAACTTGCAGAAACGCCAGTTTTAAAATGAGGTTTCATGATCAACTCTCTGCATCGTGCTCCTCTCACACTCTGCTCCTCGTGTGTCTGCACTTTGCTGTTGTCAAGACACTTTACCTGACGACACGTTCATTTTGCAGTATTGAAAAAACGAGTGTTTACCTCTGTGAACGTCACTGCCGCTCACCACGGTGATGTACAGTGTCTCATCTGTTGCACCCAGTGCTGCACCGTGAGCTCTGACCTGCGGACTCATGCGGGTCGAGGCTGAGCTCCGTTTCTCACTGTGATTGTATTCTAAGTTTGGAGTTGGAGGGATGAGGGTGGTTGACTGATCCATGCCTGTGAGCGGGGTGCTGCGTTCAGGGTGCATCCTATCTTACCCACTCGTCTTAACCCGGAGCTATACCTCTCTGTGCTCTCAGTGTGTGATGCTACTAATTTTCGCAGATCAAACAGTGATAAACATCCATTTGAATAATTGGAGAGTTGTGTAATACTTGCCATAGTGATGTGGACACAGTTGTATCTTGGAAGTGTGTAATTTAGGTTGTGTATTAACGTGGCATCTGCAGTGTCCGTGTTGGCTTGTGTCTACACCGCTGACCTTTAATCCAGTGTTGTTTCCTCCACTGTTCCGACTGTCACTGTACGTTTTTGTAAAATAGAAAAGAGATTAAAAAAAAACTGCAGAAGAAGAAAAATATTTATTGA